TCAGGAGAGCTGCAGTAATGCTAAATTTCCAGTATGGTGATAAGAAAAGGAGGAAAAAAGGAGGGGAAAAAACTTATGGTTGGGATGTGAAATTAAAATAACATGAAACGTTTTCTTTTGGGTCAGACTGAAACATTTCAATTGATCCACCCTCCCCACCCCCTGCAGGAAACATCCCTTTTCAGGCTCTTCACCCCTTTGTATAGCACCTTGTAAGCAATCCTTTATTTTTAATGGGAAGCTAAAACGTCAGCATGCACCATTCCAGCATTTTCAAACTCCTCCGCCTGCCCCCTTCCGGTAATTTTTTTTTTAATTGATTTTTTGGCTAACCCAAATTAACCAACTGTCTCAGTCCTGCCTAAACTGCAGTTTCCAGTAAATTTACTATTCATCAAGATATGTTCACCTGGCTCTGGTTTTGAGGACATGTGTGGACTATGCATTTGCACGGCATCTAGGCCAGTAGGGTAGTGATCTTAGTCGGGCTCTCCTGACTATTATAAAAAGTTGGAATAGTGCATTCTGACATTTTTTAAAATGGGGAATTAAATGAGAGTTAAAGATGCTCAGCATGTTTGAAAGGGGGGAAAAAGTGGCAGAAAAGTGGGGAAACTCTCATTGGAATCATCAGGACCTAAGTATTTTGAAGTATTAAAGCTTTTGGGGGAGGAATTAGGATAAGAGAATCGCACTCATCCTCCTCAGTTCATTAAACCAACCTGGGAGATGCTGGAGAGAAGTGCTCATACAGCCTGCAAGTCAGGAGCTGCCTGATTTGTTTGATGACTGTCTTGGACCAGCTTTCCCAGCACCGCCCAGAGGTTCTGGCTGGTTTTTAAGGGAGAGCAACTGGGAAGGAGGGTGCTTGCAGGTTCAGGGTGGGCAGGGCAATGGAGAAACACTGCAAGCTGCTGCCTTAGTACAGAGACCAAGCAGGCTGAAGCAGGACAAGCTCAGGGTTTTATTCTGGGGCTGGTGCATGGGCCATTTCAATGTGACCCATGCATTGCTTCCTCACCTCTCCGCCTGGGGCTAGAATAGCACTGGGATGAATAAGGGCTCTCTCTCAAGCACCACCTTGCCTTGAGTGTTGCTAATGGGAGGCCATTGTTACTGGGAGATGCATTTCCAAGGGGTGGAGCTGCTCTGTTGCTGTTTGAATTTGAACAGCAACCCAGGCAAGCCTCTGACCCCTTCTGAGGGATGGAAAGCCAGCTGCATTATCTTTTGGTTCAGCTCCAAAACTCACACCGGCAGGTCTTTCCCATCTCATGCTGCCAAGGGCAGCGATCCCTGCTTTCATGTTTAGGAATCAGACAGCTGAAACGACTTTGTGATTCATCCCGGGACTTTTAGCATGGCTTGTAGAGGAGGAAGCATCTACCAAAGACTGCCATCCTCATCCACAGGGGATCATAGCAAAGTTGGGCTGGAAGGGGCCTCATGAGGTCATCTTGTCCAGGCCCCCGCCCAAGGCACAATCATCCTTGGCTAGATCATCCCAGTCAAGTGTCTATTTAACCTGCTTTGGACAAGTCTTAGGGATGTCTCTAGGCAGCTTATCCCAATGCCGAACCACCCCTATGGTCAAAGCCAGCGTCCTTGCTGGCAGCTTTAGCAGGAGGAAAGGAAATATTACATCCCTGTCACTCCAGGGATCGAGCCTGGCACTTCTAGATCAGTGCCAGGGTATCTTGCGCTGATGCTGGACAATTTGTGCCTGGGTGTGGGCTAATAGGGGAACACCTATATGGCGAGGATATGGAGAAATGACCTGGAGAATTTTTTCCCTTTTTAATGTCTGCAATGAGATAGCATGCCCTTGTTGCAAAAAAAGGCTAACAGCATACTGGGCTGCACTGGTAGAAGCGTTGCCAGCAGATGGAGGGCAGTGATTCTTCCCTCTATTCGGCACCGGTGAGGCCACATCTGGAGTCCTGTGTCCAGTTGTGAGCCCCCCACTACAGAAAGGATGTGCACAAATTGGAGAGAGTCCAGTGGAGGGCAATAAAAATGGTTCAAGGGCTGGGGGACAGGACTGGTGGGGAGTGGCTGAGGGATGTTGGCTTATTTAGTCTGCAGAAAGAAGACTGATTGGGGTTTAATAGCAGCCTTCACCTCCCTGCAGGGGGGCTGCAAAGAGGATGGAGCTGGGCTGGTCTCAGTGGGGGCAGATGGCAGAAGGAGCAATGGGCTCAAGCTGCAGCAAGGGAAGTTGAGGTTGGATATTAGGAAAAACTTTCTCACTAGGAGGGTAATAAAGCCCTGGAACAGGCTCCCCAGAGAGGTTGTTGAATCTCCATCCTTGGAGATTTTGAAGACCAGGCTTGACAAAGCCTTGGCTGGGGTGATGGAGTTGGGGCTGGTCCTGCTTTGAGCCGGTTGATGGACTAGATGTGACCTCCTGAGGTCCCTTCCAGCCCTCGTTTTCTATGATTAAGTTTCCAGTAACCTATAACCAGTCCAGCCCAGTAAGGTGGTAACTCCATGCATCACCTAGGAATGCAGCGAGGATGGGGCAGTCCTGTTTCATGCAGCAGGCTGTAGTTGAAACACCTTTAACTACCTAGGGTTCAATAAAAATCCTGCAGGGACTCTCCTACATCAGGCAAGGGGGGTGTTGGTGTGATCTCTCAAAGGGGTGCCCGTGCTGTCTGGCTATGGGGCAGTGGCAAACTCTGGGAGGTACACCAGTCAAGCCTCAGAGAGAAAGAAGGACCCTGGGAGGCAGAGGGGAGGAGGGCTTAGGATGGAGGTCAGCAGAAGTAGTTGATCACCAAAGGACCCCCCAGAAATGGCAGCAATTCGCCCTGGCAGTGGGAATTAACTGGTGCTGCTATTCTGGCAAGTTTGAATATGGCTGAGTAAGCAAAGCCAAAACCTGCTATTCTGGCAAGTTTGAATATGGCTGAGGAAGCAAAGCCAAAAACTGACCCACCCTCTCCTTATACTCAGTAAATAACAGTGACCCAGTCTTGCCAGGGCTCACGTTTCGCCCACACAGATGCACGCAACGGGAAGAGGCAGCGATCAGAGCACAATTTCACAGCTGGAGGTGGAAACGAGGATTAAGAAATGGCAGGTTTTACTTACCATCAAAGTCCTAGTCCTGATATATCCGTCTCGCCCTGCAGTCTGCCAAGGTCAGGCACATCCCGGCGGTTCACAGGTCCCTTTTATATCCTTATCATGCCTGGGCCGTCCTCATCTGCACCTCACTAGTGCCAGTTGAGCTAAAAATACTACAAAGCATGGAAGAATGTGGCAGGCACTTGCTGGCAGGACCTGACAGCTGTGTAGGAGGCACTGGCCAGAGCGCGGCTTCTGTATCTCTACGATACAGCTGCTGGCGGAGAAGATACGCTACTCTTTCATGTCAGCAGCTGGCATTTGCAAGGGCAGCGTGTGTTTTTTTGCCCGGCCAGCTGTTTGTAGTCCAACCAAATACCATATTTTATCGCATACAACGCACCCCCAAATAAGACACACACCTTGTTTTGGAAAGGTCGAATGAAGATAAAAAGATCTTTCCTTGAAAATATTGGCAAGTAGCGGTAAGTAACTGCACGCTCCCCGTACTGAGCCATGTGGACCCCATGGCAGCCAAACTCTTCCACTTTTTTCCCCTGGCAGAGGCTTATGCTACAAAAACCACTGTTACTGTATTTCCTCAAATATAATGTGCCCCCCAATTTTCAGCAGCTGATTTGTTGGGGGGAAAGCTGTTTGTGGTCACTAATGAGAGGAGAAAATGAACTGTGGAAGGGAGGATTATGGGTAAAGAAAACAAAAAAGGCATCAGTTGGCCTCTGTGGCACCCCCCTCACTTTGCAAACCCTCTGGGTGCATCTGCATGCTTGAGGAGCACCTCGGAGAGCCTGACATGGTTTGGACATGGCCATCTGAAGAGTGGGGCGGAGTGCCACCAATAATACAATAATAGGCCCAAACTAGAAAGCTAATTGGAGCATGTCCAGTGCCACCAATGGTGGCTGCATTACAAATATATATGGGTTTTTGCTTTTTCTTGAGCAAAAAACCAGAGGCAGACTCAAAGCACCCTGTCTCTCCCTTGAGTCCTCCTTTCACTGTAGCAGGGGCCCAGGTGCATCCCTTCCCCTCCCACTCTTTTCAGGGTAGGGGCATTCAGCCCAAGTTGCCCTCTATAGTAGCCAGGGAAATAGGGTGGCAACTGCAGCAGTGGGGTACAGGTCCCCTGCAGGGAGCAATCCTGTTGCAACAACAGCACTGTGATGGCACAATGGCCCATGGCTGGGGCTAGGAGGTTCTCCCCCCCCCCCCCAAAAAATGGATAAAACTCTTACTTCATGGGTGTTTCTCCAGGCCTGGACATCAAAGCCTTGCACTGCAGTGTTATCATCTGCTCATGTTCTGCTAAATGATGCAATCTCCCTTTGCTTTCTTCAGGTTGCTTAATGCCATCCCGATAATAGTGCACCTTCTTGATCAGAACTGGTCAAGCAGCGGGAAAATAGCTGTTGCCAACTGAATGTCATTGGATTTCAGTATTTTCCAGCTGTCTCTTAGGAGAACATTGCTAAAGGTCGAATGAAGATAAAAAGATCTTTCCTTGAAAATGTTGGCAAGTAGCAATACTCCCTGTACTGATCCATGTGGACCCCATTGCAGCCTAACTTCCACTTTTTTCCACCCCCCCTGGGCAGAGGCTTATGCTACAGAAACCTTTATTACTGTATTTCCTCACATATAATGTGCCCCCGCAATTTTCAGCAGCTGATTTGTTGGGGGGAAAGCTGTGTGATGTATGCAAGAAAATATGGTAGTTTGCTGTTGTACCACAGCTATCTTGCACTCAGCTGGTGTGTACATCAGTGAACTCTGTGAACTTACTGGCTCGCACCTAGCACTCTGCTCCAGCGGCTGTGTTTTATCCAATTTGGGAGGTAGTATGGGCACAGGAGACGGGCTGCGTTCACCTCCAGCGTTCCCAAAGTCCATGCAGAGGCAATGAAGTGAAGGGCCTCGGCCATAGGATTCAATAGTGCTACATACAGTGCAAACGCTGAATGAAAGGTGTCCCCAAGACCTTGCACTCTTGGGGTGGTCTGTCCCCCAAGACCTTACACTCAAATATGAATCAGGAAGCAACAGGCAAGCAAGGGGACAGACAGGGAGAAAATGCTGGTTAGCATGACATGCAAAAATCTAGAATTTTGGGTTCAGAGATGATACCTTTTATTAGACCAACTGAGAAACTGCAAAAAAAAAAAAAAGTATTGCAAAAAAAAAAGGATTATAATTTTTTTGCAAATAATTGCAAAAAAAAAGAAATTGCAAATATATATATCTTTTTCTGCAAGCTTCCAGGGCTATTTTTTGTTGTTGTTGCAATTTCTCAGTTAGACTAATAACAGGTATCATCTCTGAACCAAGAGCTCTAGATTTTTGCATTTCTTTTTGTCTCAGACCAACACAAACCCAAATAATCCCTGGTTAGCATGACAGGCAGCTGCCATAGCACACTCATGCTTTAACTATTTCCTGTGTCTTGAAGGCATTGCAGCAAAGCAGAGTGCTAAGGCACAATTGGGAGAGGAAGATGGAGGAGCTTTGCAGGGAAGAGGTTCTTGAGTGTGAAGAGCAGCCTGGGAGAAAGCAGCAAGGTGTCATTTAAAACTCTGCCAGGTGCATAACTGAGGCATCATGGGTGGATGAGAGGTAAAAATTGACTTCTCAGTGCTGGTGACTGGGAGGGTGAGGGCAGGTTGAGAGGGGCTTGCCTTCAAAGCCAAGCAGCTTGTGTGGTACTGTAGAGAAAAGAGAGCCAACAAAGGGCTGCGTACACAGGAGCGATAGGGTCAATGTGCCAGGCTAGGAAAAAGCTCCTTGCAGCAGCCTTCAGGCTGAACACAAGGGCCAGGCTGCATTCATCAGGAGCAGAAAAGGAAAAGCGTTCCTCTGCTTTGCAGGAACGTTGTCTTAGTCACGATGTGAGCTGATGAGAGTTGGGTCTGCGTAGATGAGTCGGAAAAGCTGCATCGTCAATACAACGTGCAGAAAGAATCTCCCGGGCTCCAGCTACTGCAGACAGCGCACCACGCCACTACCGTTACCGGGGGCTCGATGCTACCGTACTGATAAAATGGGCCTGATGGACGGAGAATGCTAATTGACTTCAAGTGTCTGCTCCTCTAAATATTCCCTGAACCTGGATGGGTCAAGTGCTGTGGATGTCACCTCTGCACAATCCTTAGGCAGGGAGGAATGGCCAGGCTGGGATGCAGCTAGTCCAGCCCCTGGCTCCAGCAGTAACCCGTGGCAGGTGGTTTGGAGAAAGCTGCAGGGAACCCTGCAGTAGGCAATGCCCCCTCTCCTGGGGAAAACCATTTCCATGTCACCTTTTAGGTTCATTGTGACACTTTCCAGACCCGAGTGTCTCTTGGCTCCTGAAATGCTGCCTTTTCTTTTTTTTTTTTTGCAAAGCAGGAAGCCAAGAGTTAAGAGATGAGAGAGAATTGCTCACTCTTAGATGTTGGCTGCCAGCCACCTTTCCAGCCTGGTTCCCTGGAAAACAAGGTCGAACGCATAGGACAAAAGCAAAGGGGAAGGTTTTTTAAATAGTGCACAGAAATGCCTTAAGTTGGGCTAGATGTGCAGTAGCTTAACCAACAGATCATTTCCATAGATTGAGAGCTCAGTGCTATGAGGGACCAAATCAGGACTTTCCAGGCCTCTGAATGCTGAAAACTGGAAGAGAAGAAGATTTGGGGGCAGATCAGTCTGGACGCGCCCTGCTTGGTGTCCTCCAAAAGGGGACACCAAGCAAAGTACACTGTCCAGCACCCATTGCCCCCTGAACAAGTCAAGGGAGCCTGTGGATGCTGACCAGTGAATCTGCCCAGAGACGTGAGCAGAAGAGTGACAGCAGCACCGTGATGGCACAATGGCCCATGGCCGGGGCTAGGAGGTTCTCCCAAAACACAAATGGATAAAACTATTACTTCATGGGTGTTTCTCTAGGCCTGGACATCAAAGTCGTGCACTGCAGTGTTGGCATCTACTCATGTTCTGCTAAGGGATGCTTCCCCAGGTTCCTAGTCTGGTAGATGGCCAGCTTGGCCAGAGCCAGGAGGAGGATGACCAGGAGCTCCCAGGACTAGGGCTGTGTGAAATTTCACCGGAAGTTTCATTTTGAAGCTGTTTCGATGTGTTTCGAGCTCGAAACAGCAAAATCAAAACAAAACAAAAGCCTTCAAAACAGCTTAGAAATGAAACAAGGGAACTCAAAACGTTTTGAAACTTTCAAAACATTTTGAGTTTCGAAGCCAGGCTTACTTGGCTTCAGTGCCAGTCCCAGCTGGCAGCACCAGCCTCCTGTCATCCAGCAGACAGATCGGGGGCTCGCCCGCACCCCCAGGAGGGCTGCGGGGGCTGTGCCGGACTGCTCCCAGGGGTGGACCCCCGATCTGCCTCTCGGATCCCAGGAGGCTGGTGCTGCCAGCTGGGGCCAGCAGCAGGACTGATCTTCCTGGCGCTGGCTGTGGAATAGCCTATGGGTGAAACGTCGAAACAGCGAAACCGTTTCAACGAAAAGAAATGGAACCGTGCTTTCTAAACAAAACGAAACGCAAAAGGAAATACTGCTCCATCGAAACGTTGAAATGGAAGTCAAAGCAGAACGGTGCTGTTGTACACAGCCCTACCCAGGACTTGGTGCAGCTATGGATGAAAGAAGAGGTGCAGAGAGAAGTGCAGCCAGAACCTCACGGAGAGACTCCTGAGGTTGTGGAAAAGGGGCTGCAACTTGGCACGCTCAGGAGGGCGTGAGCTAGGGGCTCCATCTATTGGCAGAAAGGGCAGGGGTCGGACATTGAGCTAGACAGATCTGTGGGCTGACCCAGTTTGGCTTTTCATTTGGTTTGATTTTGCCAGTGAACACAAGGCAAAAAAGGTTAAGTGCTGTAACATGCTCAGCCAGTCATGGCTGCATGACCCTGTATTTTTTAACAAGGCCATTGGGCTCAAATTGAGAGATTTCAGAGGGGAGAGAATCTGCCACAACCTTCCAGAATCGGTAGCAATGGTGTGTGTTACACACTACTAGTAGTTTGTGTCTTATTTACAGTATGAATGTTTGTGTTGCCCGTATTTAGCCATCG